CAAACCCCACCTATACTTCTTCAAGATCGAGAATGCCTGTTGCAGCTATGGCCAACACAACCACATCAGTGTCAACATTACGGCTGTAAAACTTCTTCCATCCTTTATGTGAAGCATCAGTGAAGCAACTTTCTTTATCTTTTTATCTCTTCATAGTTACAGGGTGCCAATTCCAAAAGGTCTTTTGGTTGATTGGACACCACATATTCGCCAATAGGGCTGATGACTTGCTTGATTCTATCAAGGCTATTTTCTGTACAAGGAAAGCAAAAGATATTTCTTGCTGGTATCACACCTCGAAATTCTTGCCAGTTCCTCAGAACTGGCTTCCACTCGTCGTCTTTTTCCACTTCCTCTTTTGTTCTTACACTGGATTTTACGCTGTCCGTTTTGTATTCGTCTCAGACAATATCCACTCTCTGATTAGTGTCCAGAAGAGACTGCAAGTACTTCAAGAACACATTATCAGCATACTAGTATTCATCAAATGCTATTGGAGCTGCTGGTTTTAGCATGTTTATTACTGCAGATCCATCAAGGATTGATACGTCAACATTTGGTGTTGAGTCAGTTGGTGGTGAAATTTTCTTCAAAGCAATTGAGAAGAACTGATTTTGCGCATGGACGTAGAGAACCTTGATGAGATATAGTTGGGTAGCAAGACTGATTTTTATGTCTGACAAACTCATCCAGGTTTCCATCCCTTGACTCGTCTGTGTATATCTTGTCTTCATGGAAGAAGTTCTACATCCATATTGTTGACACAGATGTGGTCCATATTGTTGACACAGATGTGGTTGTGTTGGCCATTGCTGCATCAAGCATTCTCAGTGTTTCACAGCTTCACAGGCCATGACAGTATGTCATCCTTAGGTGGAATTCAAAAGAAGGCCTCGCGGAATACATGGAATACTTTTCCTGAACATACAGGCACCTTTATTTCCCTCGCTTGTCCACCACTTGAAATCCTAATGCACAAAATTAATCAGCATGAGAGAGTTGTTGTACTGATGTATGACAGTGCAAGCAACCTCATGAAAGTGAATGAGCAAGAAAACATTTGTTTGCCACAAAGGGGAGAACACTGGACAATATTCCCCCCAACAGAATCATTCCCCCAACAGAATCAACTTTGATCCAACATACTAGTAACTATGGACAACTCTCACGAAGGCATGAAAGAGCTGCCGGGAATTGCTGAAATGCATGTGTATAAAATGTTCAAACCGGTCCAAGTGTTTAAAAGCAGCTCTCAAGTGCTATGCACTTTTCTCATTCAGTCAAGCTAGATACAATTACACATTCCATAGAGTGATGAGATAGCTACTTTGACATTGATGTTGTCTTGATTTTGATATGTTTTTATAGGTGTTCTATAGCCAATCAAGCTCATACATTATACATGTAAGTAAATCTAATGATATATTCCTTAAAATAAACTTTGGTCTGTTCTCACAATATTCTAGTAAGATAATTTATGAGGATTTAAAATTGAGTTAAAGGAACATTTTTTGGAAAATTCAATTTTTTCCCCACTTTTTCCCCCCAAATATATAAAATTACAACAATCTGTGAGGCTTCTCGTATTGAATTTGCAAAGAAATGATAAAAATAATTTAGATCATGGGATGATCTCATACTTATTTTACTGATGTACTCTATATGGCGGCCATTTTGCAAATGGTGTGCGAAAATTGGCGGCCATTTTGCAAAATGGCCACCAATTTTCGCATTTTCAGGTAGTCATGATATAAATTGACTTCCGTAGACCTAACCGTTAAAGATAAAAAGACATGTATAGATGGAAAATGACCAGTTATGGATTTCCTACAATTTGATATATGTCTTATGAGAATTGGAGAATTTTGTAAAAGGTTATAACGAAAATAGTATAAAAAATTATATTTTTTCACTTTTCCCCCCCAAATTATGGAAAATATAAAAAATCTGCGAGGCCTCTCGATCTTTATTCAGTTAGAATGGTATAAGCTACAATCATGCCAAGTTTCATGCTTGTAACACAAAGTGCACAATTTGATCACTTATCCGCTGGGCTATTGGGTAATAAAAAGGAGTATGCCTCTCGTTATCAGAAATGTTACCAGTTTTTTTTTGTCAAATGACGTCACAGCAGGTTACGTCACGTTCCATAATGACGTCATAGAACTTGTTCCATGACCTGACAGTGTTGGTTCAACCAGAGGCCATCTATTATATGGTCTGATGTTCAACAGCCCGCTGCGAGGAGTTTGAAGCAAACTTGCAATCAAATTTATGATACTGTTTTGTCTTTTTTAACACATGTTCCATCCATTTTAGCTATAACAGGGGATTATACGGTAGGACATTTATAGCACTGACCTATCAAAACTCGTGTTACATACTAAATTGAACACAGAATCTGTTCGTTCTCGGGTTAGGTTACAGCTAGGGTTAGGTGTAACAGTAGAATCTGTTCGTCCTCAGTGTTAGGGTTAGGTGAGAGGGTGAAATTATATGTTTGTTTATATGTTTTTTTCTTTAATAGGCCAACGGCTAACATGACAAATACATCATACATACTTTCAAAAGCGCATTGCAAACATTTGCCTCCCCCCTCCCCGCACCCGACCCAACCCACTTGCAAAGACTTTTGCACTAAAGATAGCAGAAGATAGCACTAAAAAGGAAATAAACATTCATGGATAATTCAGATTATAGTTTTGCTTTACCTGAAATATATGATAAACAAATTTGGCTAAGTTGAAGGTTAATACTTCAACTTTAGTTTGTAAAAGACTTATAAACTTCATCATGTTTGGAGACTTGTATACGTCCAGAGTTAGGTAGCGACGTCTAAATGCCAAGTACTTAGGACAAACTGTGATAACATGATATTCATCCTCTATGTCATTTTTGCAAAAAGGACATAATCGGTTTTCTAAAGCTAGTTTTGGTCGAGCCCATTTTCCTTTCTCAATCATAAGTGAATGAGAAGATAATCGTAGTCGTGTCAAGGCTACCCTATAGTTTATAATATCAATTTGAGATAAATACTTTTCCATGGTAAGTGATAAGCAAATATATTCTTGTTTCACTAAGTGAACTTAGATTATATTTCCACATTTGAGAATGTATATCAATAACCCTTTGTCTAAAAGCACTGATAAATGCTGTACAATTTATAGTCAATTTCTGTTGTAACCAGAAAAAAACCATATCCATAATGAAACAACAAGTCTCTAATGAGAGTAACCCATGTCGTATATGTTGGATTCTGCCCAGCATTGTCGACTAGTGCCCTATATATAATGCTTATATATCGGTTTCCGTCACAGGTGATAATCTTAATCCAATATTTCACATTGCGTACCAATCTAATAGTAATCAATGGCAGTACGCCCATTTCACCATAGACAAAAGCTGATGGTGTTGAACTTTTAACACCCAGAACCTGCTTAATAAACTTTAAGTGGACTCTTTCGATAGCTGGCGCGTCCATAAATCCCCAAACTTCACAGCCATAGCATAAAATTGGCAGTACTAAGGTTTTAAAATAATTGATACTGCTGCGCAGGGGACATATATGGATTGGACAACAATATTCGTTGTAACGAAAATAAGGATTTCATAGCCTGCTCCGATAAAGTCTTTTGTGCCTTGGAAAAACTACCTGTTAACGAGAAGACAATACCCAAATATTTGAAACTATTAACATTTTCTAGTACCTGATCACCATAATACCAGATTTTTCTCTTGGACAATCTACCCCCTTTTCTGAAAATAACAACCTTAGTTTTATCTGTATTAACAGTGATGGCCCACTTGTCGCAATATCTCTGTAAGAATCCAAGACCACGCTGCAAGCCCTCGACGGATTCACTGAACAAGACCATATCATCAGCAAATAATAACATAAATAGCTTGATGTAAAACACTGTCATGCCAAAACCATTGCAAGCAGAGAGGTCAGACACAATATCATTTATAAACAATGAAAATAATATAGGCGATAAATTTTCCCCCTGCCTTACACCTATATTTGATGAAAAGAACTCTAAATACCTATTTCCGGGAAGTTTAACACAAGAGGACACATCTATGTATATATTTTTAATTAATGATAGAAATTTGGAACTAATACCCAAAGAATAGAGTTTAAACCAATGGGCTTGCCTATTAACATAGTCAAATGCTTTTCGAAAATCCACAAAAGCACAATATAATTTCACCCCTTTTCTCAAGGCTAAATTTATCAATCCGTGAAGAATAAACATACAATCAGCCGTGCTATAACTCTTTCTAAAACCAAACTGTGCTTCTACCAAGAGGGAGTAGTTATCACACCACTGTTTGACTCTGTTATTTAGAACACTCGTAAACAACTTGACACAAGAGAGAAGTGTAATCCCTCGATAATTATCTGCAACTAATTTACTTCCTTTTTTATGAATGGGGAAAATAACGCCCTTTCTCCATTCAGAGGGGTATTTACCAGATTTCAAAATAGCATTAAATAACATGGTAATTACTGGAGATAAGGTATCTTCTCCCGCCTTAAGGAATTCATTAATAATGCCATCGTAACCTGCTGCTTTATTACACCTCAACTTACTAATTGCCACATGTACTTCAACCGCAGTAATGTCACGGTCTAACTCGTCATCCCAGTGCTGGACCATACCGTTGTCAGATAGCATCTGTTAGGAATAGGGTCAGGCAAGGGGGCGTGACAATAGAATCCGTTCGCTCTCAGGGTTAGGGTTAGTGTGTGTAATAATAGAATCTGTGCGCCTTTAAGGATTTGGGTTAAGGTTAGGTTAGAAGCAAACATATTCTATAGGATCTCCCTGATCTGACCACATCACTGAGGTGGAGCAGCCTAATGGTTACATCGTTCTCCGGCGTCACGCTGAAGGCCCGGGAACGTTCTAATCCCCACATGAGTGCAATATTATGTGTGAAGCGCATTTCAGGTGTCCTCCGCCGTGATATTTCTGGAATATTGCGAAAAGCGGCGTAAAACCATACTCACTTACCCTGACCATACCGGTATATGCGACCAGTGAACTAACGCAGTAAGGACAGCCACACGCTTGACATTGTGCACCTGGCAACTGGCTCAATTTACCGAGTCATTCATATGCCTCCGCACCTGCACCGCTTCAGTGAGCACAAGTGTGGTTCACAACATGCAATAGTGTTTCGTTACCTGGGACATGCTGTTACTCTTTACTGGACATTTGACATGGAAACAGCTACAAGCGTGTTCAAAATGTCCAAACGGCGACCACAACAGCTGGCTATTTTGATAACAGTAACGTCGTTGTGGACGCGGATACTAGGTCAACCTTGGGCAGGTAAGCTTTCATTGTTGAAACAGTAAGGACAATCACCGTGGCTCGTTCACGCTGCCATGCACCAACTGGACCAGCAATATAGGAAATATATATAGGTATTTGTTTGGTTATTTGTGCACTAATATGCAAGCTAAGTACAGCTGCACTCCCACTGGTATGAAGACTTAGTGATTACGAGAAGTCAAGCGCGTCGGTGTCAGTGTATGACAACACCCCATGAAATTGTATCCGTACCAGATGTGATGCCCTGTTGGAGTTATATTTAGACTCAGGAGGTAAAGCAGGTTCGTCGGTAATTTTGCACAACAGAACACTACGACGTTTTTCATTGAAGTGGATTTCATTTTTAATTATAAGATTTAATTTGGGCTACGGAGATATGTGAGCAGCCTAGCGACAGTTCTCAACAGAAACTTAAGACAAACGTCTGGTATATTTCACGATCAAACTTTTATATTTCACGATTGTGTCGTCACGTCATTAAAGGAGATTCGAACACACGATCTCAAAGTGGACGAGGTTATCTTTAAGAGGGTAGTTATTTGTCTACCTTGGATGTACCTGGGCCATGCAGATAAATACAATAATGTCAAAATGGCCTCATCCAGAAGTTAGGCAAATATGGAAAACTATTAAAAGGAAGAGCATATAGAGATGGTGGTGGTCGGTTGTTTTGATGATTATTAAAATATTCAGGATATTAAACTTAACCCCCTGTCGAGATGGGCTTGTATGACGTCATCGCCATTATATAATGGTAAATATGGGCTTTGTTTATATGTAAATACACACCACTTCTGATAGAATATACTGCACCTAACCCCCGTGATGTATTCTCCCTGTTGTATTGTTCGACAAGCAACTCCAACTCATCGTTTATTTACTTAATGAATAAAAATCGATGTGCATTCTGTGAAAACCTGCGTAACGGGTTTTAGCAATGTGTACACGCCGTTTTTGTATTTTAAATTTCCTTTAAGCGCAAGAAGATATCGGAGACACTTTAATCGATAAACATGTTAAGAATAGCTTCATGTGTGTTTTTAGTATTTACGTAAAACAACTTTATACTGTAAGCGAAATGCTCCGCAAATTCTATTTTCAGCCAATCAGGAAACAGTTATCGAGGGTGGAAATATGCCCTGTATAATCACTTGCAACCTATCCTTTTTCATATACCCTTACACTCTTAACAACAATATGTCAACTTGACCTTCCTTCATCTCCATTTGTAATCTTCATGACGAACCCCTGAACATCCAGGTTAGAATTTGTTTTCAGCAACCCATGCTTGACGAAAGAGCCGACTCACGTAATCGGGTCAGGCTCGCCTCGCTCATTATCATGTCGTTGACACATGCCACTGTATCTCAGTTTCTTTTGATCACTGGATTGTCTGGTCCAGATTCGATTATGGTTGAGTGTGGTGTAAAACAAGTAAACGATTTTACCAGGAATTAACTTAAAGACTACTACCTGATTATAAAATTTCATAATAACAATTTACAAAATTAGAGGAAAAATATATATTTCATTCGCCTGCCCGCTCTGTTATTGGTTGAGGAACACATTAGGACATATTGAAATCTAGTCAATACGGAAAACTTCCTCTGTCTGAACAATTGTTATATTCAACAAACAATATTTAAAGATTTTAACCTACAGAATAATTCTCACTAATGGGTTTTGTGGTTAATGTTGAACAACTCACAGAAACAAACTCCGTATGATGGTTAACAGTTGGCACCCACCTGACCCTATTCACGACCTGTGACACCTCTTCATACCTGTCACGTGCATAGCTGACCTACATTGACGAACGTTGACCTTTATGACCCAACACTGTCGCTGTTACAGGTCATTGGCTCCCTCCCTCTGCAAGCCGTCTGCGTCCTGTTGTTTATTTTGTTGACAGTTACATAGACAGATCCTTTACTACAAATGCATAAAATCGGTGATTTACAATGTGATTAGGTTGTCTGACAAAACATCCACTTGCACAGTTTGAGATCGATTGGATCATTGGATGAAGAGATATTTACCAAAAAACGTGTCCACATGCATTTCATGCCAAACTATAGAGCTTGAAGCAGCGACTGAAATATATCACGCCTCTCTCAAATCGTCTCATAAATATATAATTGTCATTATCAGAGCAGAATATGCTTAAAGCGAGCGAGGCGCAAAGAAATAGACAGTTTGGAGTTGGATTTATGGTGGAACAGAATCTTTCCTTCGATTGGCATCCTAGAAGTTGGGTACATGAAGAATGAGGACTATCAGGGATATACGACTTCTTTATTCTGTATAGGCGACGTTTCGACATTGATTCTAATGTCGTTGTCAAGTAAGTGGTACATGGGAAGTAATTAAGGTGATATATACATGAGATGTTTGCATGATAGATGAGGGATGAGTAGAAAATGAGTTTTTTAGTACAATAGAAAAGGTTAATAACACAGGATTAAGTGGGTTGATAGGAAGCCAGTAAAGAAGATGTCATGGTTGTATACATAAGAGATTAAGGATGTTGATGGGCAGCCAGTAGGGAATGATGTACATAGGTTGTTTACATAAGTGATAAAGGGACTGTTGGGAGACCAGTAATAAAGTGATGGTTTACACAATGAATAATGTACAATGGTTGGGTAGGGTTACATGAAATTAATTCAGCATCTTTGTTGATGGCTGGGCAAATCTTTATGTGGAGAGCTTCAAGTGGTTTTCGGGTTTTGAGATCAGAATGTCCCCCTCGATGACCATGGTGGCGTTCCAACTGATATTGTGGTTTGGGTTGGCTTTGAGACTGTCAGTTATATCGAATTTTGAGGGGTTTTTTCTTACTGAGGCTTGGTGTTCTTTGATCCTAATCGTGACTGGTCATGATGTTTCACCAGTGTAGGATTCGCCGCAGTCGCAATCTATCTGGTAGACGACATCAGCGGGATCTGGCTTCTTTGTCGGGGTGGGTCTGTCTGTGGCCTGCAGGAGGTTCTGTATTGTGTTGCCTCTTTGAAAGATGACATTAATGTTGGCTTGCTGCTTAAGGAGTCGCCGGATGTGATGGCTAGTTGGTCCAATGTAGGGGAGGCTGATGGTGAGGGTGCTGCTTGCTGTCGGGGAGGTTTAGTGTCAGGGTCGAGGGTGTTGTTGATGGTCAGGTCGACGAACGATGCAGGATATTTGTTGTAGTTGGTGAAGACATGTCTATGTCGAAACGTCGCCTATACAGAATAAAGAAGTTGTATATCCACATAAAAATAGACCTCATTCATGAACAGAATCATGTAGATGTGTTCAGTTTCATGTGCCAGAGAGCCAAGACATTTCAGCAAAAACAGACGTGTATTACTTTGTGAAATACATGACATCAAGCTTAATGTTTCTAACTACTATGACTGTTATGGTTTGGTAATCATGGTATATGTTGGTAATAAAGTGTCCTGTGGAAAACTGCGTTACCATGATAACAAGTATTTCTGTACTTGGCAGATGATGAATGCAACAACGTCATCGTGCCAGACCTATCGAGACAAGAAGTGAGGTCAGAAGGCTACCCGTCCGGATATGAACTGTAAGTACAACTAATGGCACCTCCTCCCAGATGTTAAGCCTGTCATCACGTGGGCAGTGGGGTAGCCTATTGGTAAAAGCGTACGTTCGTCACGCCGAAGACCACATGGGTACAATGTGTAAAGCCTATTTCTGGTGTCCCCCGCCGTGGTATTCCTGGAACATTGCTAAAAGCGCAGTAAAACCCAACGCACTCACTGTATCACAAAATGGACATGGCGAGAAGGGATAATTGACAAAAAAAACAACAAGAAAACCCATCAACATCCCGGTCCTGATCGATAAAGTCTGTCTTTCCTGTTTAAACTCCTCAACTCTTCATAATTGTGCAGTATGTCACAAGCTCTGGTGTGTAAACAATTTGTCCCTGACTTTCTTAGTAGCAGGATCCGTGAGGATGCGGGTTACAATTGATCTTCAGTAGCCCATGCTTGTCGTAAGAGGTGACTAACGGGATCGGGTGGTCAGACGCGCTGACTTGGTTGACACACGTCATCGTATCCCAGTTGTATGAATCAATGTTAATGATGTCAGTCACTGGGTTGTCTGGCCCAGACTTGTTTACTGATCACCGTGATACAGCTGGAATAGTGCTGAGTACGGAGTTTAACAACAAACAAAATCATACCAGCAGACATACCTATTACACGAGCAAACATACCAGTCATACCAACAGCCAACCCTGCTATGTGAAACCCAGGTCGGAATGAAATGTTTCTGTCTGAGACAATAAGACAAAGGTTTCTTGAACCTTTCTCCCTAAATGGCGATACTTATGGTTGTTGTTTGAAATGTTTTATTCCTTTCGTCATCAAGGAATCAAGAGTGCAGATGGGAGTTTGATGCAACGAAGTGGTTTAACCAGAACAAAACACTTAGTGTGCAATTTGTCGTGGACATTGAAAAGACTACAGATTGTTCAAGAGAATCTGTTTCAGTGTATGCTTGTAAGTATCAAAACACCTCTTGCTAAATACATGTATCTTACACTGAGCCTAATGAATAGCATACACAACAGAAAATGCCTCTAACCTCAATAATATTTATTTGACATTTTTACGGGAACAGTTATCTTGATCTTGGTAAAAATGCATAAGAAATTTTACGAAATTGATTGTTTAAATTTAAATATGTTTGTCATTGTATGTTAAAAGTGCTCCATGAGAGTACTCGGTGATTGTTTTATCTTACCAGTCACATCGTCCAGCAATACACAGCTAGCGGTTATGTGTGGTCAGACTGTAAGACAGTATACGTTCTTCATCAAGTCCCTCCTGGTTGTACTGAAGACTGGATCTAGTCCTACACAGGGCCGGCGTGGTCTTAAGATGACACACCAGATGATTGATGGTAAGTCAAGACTTTAAGATAGCCACTAGGATGGTAAAGAGACAGGGTTATATCTTGTATGCTGATACACCAGATGATTGATGGTAAGTCAAGACTTTAAGATAGTCGAACGGGGTTATATCTTGTATGATGATACACCAGATGATTGATGGTAAGTCAAGACTCTTGTATGATGATACACCAGATGATTGATGGTAAGTCAAGACTCTTGTAGGATTATACACCAGATGATTGATGGTAAGTCAAGACTCGTGTATGATGATACACCAGATGATTGATGGTAAGTCAAGACTCTTGTATGATGATACACCAGATGATTGATGGTAAGTCAAGACTCGTGTATGATGATAAACCAGATGATTGATGGTAAGTCAAGACTCTTGTATGATGATACACCAGATGATTGATGGTAAGTCAAGACTCTTGTATGATGATACACCAGATGATTGATGGTAAGTCAAGACTCTTTTTATGATAATACACCATATGATTGATGGTAAGTCAAGACTCTTGTATGATGATACACCATATGATTGATGGTAAGTCAAGACTCTTGTATTATGATACACCAGATGATTGATGGTAAGTCAAGACTCTTGTATGATAATACACCAGATGATTGATGGTAAGTCAAGACTCTTGTATGATGATACACCAGATGATTGATGGTAAGTCAAGACTCTTGTATTATGATACACCAGATGATTGATTGTAGGTCAAGACTCTTGTATGATGATACACCAGATGATTGATGGTAAGTCAAGACTCTTGTATGATGATACACCAGATGATAGATTGTAGGTCAAGACTTGTATGATGATACACCAGATGATTGATGGTAATTCAAGACTCGAGTATGATGATACACCAGATGATTGATTGTAGGTCAAGACTCTTGTATCATAATACACCAGATGATTGATGGTAAGTTAAGACTCTTGTATTATGATCCACCAGATGATTGATTGTAGGTCAAGACTCTCGTATGATGATACACCAGATGATTGATGGTAAGTCAAGACTCTTGTATGATGATACACCAGATGATTGATTGTAGGTCAAGACTTGTATGATGATACACCAGATGATTGATGGTAAGTCAAGACTTGTATGATGATACACCAGATGATTGATTGTAGGTCAAGACTCTTGTATGATAATACACCACATGATTGATGGTAAGTCAAGACTCTTGTATTATGATACACCAGATGATTGATTGTAGGTCAAGACTCTTGTATGATGATACACCAGATGATTGATGGTAAGTCAAGACTCTTGTATGATGACACACCAGATGATTGATGGCAAGTCAAGACTCTTGTATGATAATACACCAGATGATTGGTGGTAAGTCTAGACTCTTGTATGATGATGCACCAGATGATTGATTGTAGGTCAAGACTCTTGTGTGATAATACACCAGATGATTGATTGTAAGTCAAGACTCTTGTATGATGATACACCAGATGATTGATGGTAAGTCAAGACTCTTGTATGATGATACACCAGATGATTGATGGTATATCAATGTGGTTTTATTTCGTAATCCACATTGTACAAGCACGTGAGTGATGAAAATGGTCCAATTTTGCATGTAATGTTTGGGGTAACACTTTCGAATTAAAGTACAAATTCTTGTATTTTGTTGGTTGAGTCCCGGCCGGTTTTATCTAGCCGACTCAGCCACCTATGTTTCCATAGAAACGAAAGTGTTACAACGGCGAATCTAGATGAGGTGAAATGCACCCCTCTGACAGGTGGATATTGGAACAGCTACCCTGTCCGAAATCTATGAATAAATACACTACCTACATACATACACACACCTCTACCCACCCCTACCTACCACCACCACAACTACTACTGCTACTAATTATTCACTTGTATACCGCCTGGTATCCATGTATACTGCGTTAAGAGTGAGTGAGTGAGTTTAGTTTTACGCCGCACTCAGCAATATTCCAGCTATATGGCGGCGATCTGTAAATAATCGAGTCTGGACCAGACAATCCAGTGATCACCCGCATGAGCATCGATTTGCCGATCCCGTTAGTCGCCTCCTACGACAAGCATAGTCGCCTTTTGTGGCAAGCATGGGTTGCTGAAGATCCTATTCTAACACGGATCTTCACGGGTCTACTGCGTTTAGAAGGTGGCCAAATGTAACAAATGGGGTTACATTCCCAATATACAGCACCGATTCTCCTACCTTTGTGGATCATTTTTTGCAACTTTCCAACAATTTAAATGCACCAGAAGTAAACATTTAATATATTTGAAGCATGCACTTGTGTATGTGTCCTTGAACCAGTACTGCACCCCAGCAACCCACTCAGACCCCCCGAGATGGCCGTGTTTGTTTTTTCCCTAGTGTCAAGTACCAGGAAAAGGTTACAGCCCAGAAGAGATCTGGTAAGGCGCCACCAGTGGATCCAACCGCCGTCCTCAAGACAAGACTTAGTGCTGCACCTACTACACCACACAGACGCTAAACGTAGCTTTGACACAGTCTACCAAATTAAAATAGAAATCTATGAATGACCTCTTTTTCGATTCAGACGAATCCTGCCGTGAGTGGTTGTATTCAGATACACACAAGACAGGTGCCATTCATTCACCCAGATATCCTGATCCGTATCCGAGGTAACTATCTACTGCCAAATCCAAGAGGTTTTGAGTATGTGCGTGTGTGTGTTTGTTTTGTTTTTGTTTAACGCCGCACTCAACAATACTCCAGCTACATGACGGGTTTGTAAAAAATTGAGTCAGGACCAGACAATCCAGTGAGTTTCAATTAAAACAATAGAGATACGATGACGTGCACCAACCAATATCTAAATTAACCCTGTTCAACCATATCAAGATTTTGTTTACATTGCATACAGAACAGTTGCGAGGTATTGTTGAATAGATATTGGGTAGAATGCCGTCGGAGGGCTTCACATGTTACGCTTGTAGCTTTCAGAGATGCACGTACCACATACGGAGTCGGACTCCCAACCGTAACGCCGAACTTAAAGTCATCCTTTCCGAGCTGAGCAGTGACTGTCACAAGGAATATGTCCTGGTCTATGACGGTATGTATCATTTACATGACGGTAAAACGCAAAAAGATAGCAACACCATTTGGGTAATATTCATGTTTTTTCCCATTTTTCTGGCCTTTGAAATACAATAAGACACCAAGACGTTATGTGTGGATACACTCGGCTCTTGGCTGTTAGCGTAAACCACTTGCTTACTTGTCTGTATCATGACTGGTAGGGGTTCGACTCTCTTTCACTGGTGGGTTCCTGATAGGATGCAATAGGAATTTGAATACGGATCTACCTGCGTCCAGTAAGTAGGGGTGAAACGGTACGCTCTTACCACGGTACGGTACGTATTGCGGTACAACGCTTTGGGTTCAGTTTTCTGACATCATACTATACATTTTCGGATGGCAGTGTTTACTCGCGCCATATAATGCGTTGTGTTGCATCACAAGAAACATCGTAACAGAGACCATATGGTCTCTGATCGTAAGTACTCGGCTGATGACGTGTCTTTATCATAAAGTTGACTTTTATAAGTTATTATGATGTTCCGCTGTTCGTCTGATTTGAAATAACTGAAAAAGGAACAGAACCCGTCAACTGATCTGGTATCTGCAGTTGCTGTCTTGCTATGTAAGTAGACGACTTCTGGCGATCTCGAACTTACTTAGAGGAAAATAGCGGCCGTCAAGCAAAGAAATGCATAGATTTTGACCAAATGATTAAATTTCTAGACATGTTAGAAAAGGTTTAAAATGATTAATAAAACGACGGTACGAAAACCGCAAATACCGAATTTTTGGATTGCATTACGGTATACCGAACCGAAGGCAAAATACTGCGGTTCTACTAATACCGCAGTATACCGTTTCACTCCTACCAGGAAGAAGCAGTCTTGGTTGTACCAAAGGGAGACGAAAGTGCTGGTTCAATATACAATTAGGCCGTTGATGTATTCCATTTGCAGGACTGTATGTTGACTACTACGACAACTACTACTACGACGACTACGACTGCTACTACTACGACTACGACTTCTACTACAACTACGATTATTACTACTACGACTACAATTACGACTATACAAATACGACTACGACGTCTACAACGACTACAACTACGACTACAACGACGACTACGCCGATTACGACGACGACGACTACTTTCATTGTGGTATTATTTTCATTTTCCTATAGAATTACAGGTTCTTCGTTCAAATCGTTTTTCTTGTAGCAAAAGTATCAATCTTAATATCATAATCAATCATGTATTTCATTATGTCTAGGGAATTCAGAAAAAGGGTCCTTACTTGGAAAATGGTGCGGTTCAGAACGACCGACGTTCAACAGCCTGAGACAACAACTCTATGTAGTGTTTGTGAGCCATGACAACATCAGCGGACGAAGGGGGTTCAGGGCAGATTTCAAAGACGGTAAATATGGAATTGAAGCTTTTGATTTTCGCTCTCGTTAGGGATGAGTAAAAAATATTATATTCAGCTTTGCTAGTATGATTTCACGGTAGAATCTGTTGTAGGTGATTGTAACCTACAATTTAACGTCGCATTATTTCAGTCGTATGGCGACTGATTCATCGTAACAAAGTGGTATGTGTATCCCGATGAGAAATAGCACAAGTTAAAGAAAAACAAGGAGCCGCCATTTTGAAATCACACATTTTCGATAATATTTTTCGCCTATATTATATATATATATTGGGGCATATGCATTCACTTCCTATTGATGCAATAAGAAACTTATTATCCATCACGACTTGCCTGGAATCGATAATTGAAACTTCGAGGCGAACAGCATCCAAACTGAGAACACTTGCCATATATGGAATGTAAACGATTGCTCCGTACATCGAAAACAGTCGCACGCGGTGCTGTCGGTGTTTGCCGAGCTGGTTTCAATCGCAAGTTGCGCGTATGTTTTTGCGCCAGACATAAGCGTCCTTCATTCGTCACCACTCGCCCCTTTCCGTAAACTCCAAGAAGCTATTCGGCTTGTCCCGGAATAACACGAGTTGGTCACGAATGAAGCGTCCTTTTGTCTAGGACTGTGTTCTGTGTCCAAAGGAGTTATGGGATATTCGTAAAGAGCACTCCAAGGGACATAACTCTATTCGGCCGGTAGAGGATGTGAGTTGGTTTAATGCAACGTTGCATTAATTCATTCGGACTTTTAAATTTGATATTGTGATCTAAATGCTTAATTGCTTTTGGATAAAAATTATAGTATAGAACAAACTTGGATTGGATGGCTGATTTGCTGTCGGAATTGGTAACAGAGGTCTGATGTTCTTTCACTCGGGTGTTGATGGGTCAGGAAGTTTCGCCTATGTAGCTCTGCCCACAATCACAGTTTATTTTGTAGATGAAACATTTTGGGTTGTTCTTTACGGTGGCGGGTTTTCTTCCATTGGCATGGAGAATGTTGTTAAGGTTGGAGGACGCGGAGAAGGTGGTATCTATGCCAGCTTGTTGTTTTTCAACACCCGAGTGAAAGAACATCAGACCTCTGTTACCAATTCCGACAGCAAATCAGCCATTTCCGACCACATCAAAGCAAGCCCCAATCATCAAATAGAGTGGTCTGACATCACCATTCTCTCTAACAAACAAACAGACTTCACTAAACGCAAGCTCACCGAAGCCATCCACATCAAATGCCAAAAAGCCCACCATCAACCGAGACCAAGGATACTTCATTCCATCCGCTTATGATGCACTCATCCACCAAGCTCAATCTACTGTATAGACTCTGCTGTATAAACATCTCATTATCATTTGTACATCATTGGCTTCCACGCCTGTCCTTTGTCTACTCTCTGGCTTCATCAGCTTTCTGCCTAGCCAATTATGTCAATTATGTTGTTTTCTTTGTTACATTGTTACATCCAGTATATATATACTTCCCCCCTTCTTCATGTTCCATTATGCTTGACAACGGAACAAGAATCTGTATCGAAACGTCGCACTCACGAATAAAAAGAAGTTGTTATCCATAAAGTTTGTTCTATACTGTACTTCCCAACTTCTAAAATGCCACTCAAAGAAGTTATGGAATAAATTAGCTTCCCTGAGGGCTGATAGTATTATTCTGAGAAATGCATTATTTATTTTTAGAGAAGTGTGGTGTGAAATAGTGCCTTTAATGTTTGCAATATGAGCTACAAATAACTGTTTCCATGATCGATGTGTTTATCAATCAGTGTCAAATAGTTATAATACCAGATTGTCTTGAAAAGGTGAGCGTATCCTGCCCCATCCGCCACATCACAAACACACGCAAAGGCAAGATGGTTCAACAAGCAATGTCTGTTTTAGGTAAAGGAAGAGGATGATTTAATTCCAAATCTATTGACTTCTGGATATGGATAAACATATGCTTCTGTAAACGCTGAACAGGGGTATTTAGTTGGAACACACACGTTAGCGTTAGTGATGTGGGTTGAAAATCTAGTTTGAATAGTATTGTAGTTACGTCACGTTCCACCTTATCCGTGTGTCAAATTGACAGCCAAGAATCGTGCTGACGGTTTAAAGATGAGATTCAATAGTCCCTTTATACAATTACACAGTCTAGAACGGTCTACCCTTCAAAGGAACTGCTGAGACTGCCTTCTTAAAAACACAACCTCCAGTGATATGTATTGTTTCAGTCATATGTGGAGGCGCGGCATCAGCTGGACAGTACTATGGAAACGACATCGTATTTCCTGGGCAAGAGAGAGCATTTCACCAGTAAGTATGTGAACCCTCGCGATTAGTCAGGGTTACGATTTGTAAGAAAACCGGGGCGGTTGAGTAGCATAGTGTTAAAGCGTTCGCTCGTTACGCCGAAGACCTGGGTTCGTTCCCCATATGGGTACAATGTGTGAAGCCCCTTTCTGGTGCCCCCCGCCGTGATTTTGCTGGGATATTGCCAAAAGCGGCGTAAACACATACTCACTCTTCAGAAATCCATAGTTATCGTAAGAGGCAGCTAACGGGCTGAGGTGGCCACACCTGCTTACCTGGTTGATAAATATCATCGTATTCAGTTTCGTAGATGGAAGTACTGTCTCAAAGAGCTGGAATATTGCATAGTGTGGAGTTAAACAACAAACAAAAAGAAGTATATGTTTATGAAACATAGTGATAGAGCAGCCAAACAGTCCGGATTCATGAGAATCACATCTGTCGACTGTTACTGATCGATCTTTTAAAACACAAAAATCAACCATTTTTATGTATCAGATGAACAAATGATTATTAAGTTATTAATGCATTTATTCTCAGTATGTTAGATATCTTTACACAAATGCCTAGGTGAGTTTTTGTTTTGGTCAGTTACATCACGTGTCGCTGGTACATCAGACCTTCCCGCGGATTTACAGGCTTGATGGTGGAGTTCAGAAACCTTCAGGTCGACTGTGACAAAAGCAGGATTTCAGTGTATGACGGTAAGAGTGAGTGAGTGAGTTTAGTTTTACGCCCTACTCGGCAATATTCCAGCTATATGGCGGCGGTCTATAAATAATCGAGTCTGAACCAGACAATCCAGTGATCAACAGCATGAGCATCGGTATACGATGACATGTGTCAGCGAGCCTGACCACCCGATCCCGTTAGTCGCCTCTTGCGACAAGCACAGGCTGCTGAAGATCAATTCCAACCCGAATCTTCATGGATTTATGCGAGAGGAGGAGCCGAACGTTAAATGGTTAACAAGCATGGGTTGCTGAAGACCAATTCTAACCCGGATCTTCACGGGTACTGACGAAAAGTACCATCAATACCATGAAAATATAGATCTATGTTAGATTGTTGGAGTGACTCCCCGATCTTTTGTAACTGGTCCCTTTGTTTTATAATGATTGTATAAGTGGTAGAAATGAAACACATTCAAACAAATTTCCTATGTATTCCGCACTGATATAAAATATGGATAACAAAAAGTTTGTTTTCCGCAAATCCTTATTTATTATGCCCATTAATGCATTGTGTGTTGTAATGTCAGGGCCAAGCGCTACAGACTACACAAGGACCTGGAAGATCTGCGGTAAAATGGATTATTCCTACCTGATTTCCGGGGCGGGCGTGTTCATCGAGTTCAGTAGCCAAGGCAACACAGCAGAGCCGGTCTCCTTCAAAATCAAATACAGGGGGAGCCGCGTTACAGGTAACGACTTTCACACCACTCTCATGGAGTCTCGTGCCGCGTTACAGGTAACGACTTTCACACCGAACTCATGCAGTCTCGTGCAGCGTTACAGGTAACGACTTTCACACCGAACTCATGCAGTCTCGTGCAGCGTTACAGGTAACGACTTTCACACCGAACTCATGCAGTCTCGTGCAGCGTTACAGGTAACGACTTTCACACCGAACTCATGCAGTCTCGTGCAGCGTTACAGGTAACGACTTTCACACCATACTCATGCAGTCTCGTGCCACGTTACAGGTAACGATTTTCACACCGAACTCATGCAGTCTCGTGCAGCGTTACAGGTAAAGACTTTCACACCGAACTCATGCAGTCTCGTGCAGTATTACAGGTAACGAGTTTCACACCGAACTCATGCAGTCTCGTGCCGCGTTACAGGTAACGACTTTCACACCAAACTCATGCAGTCTCGTGCTGCGTTACAGGGAACAACTTTCACACCATACTCATGCAGTCTCGTGCCACGTTACAGGTACCGACTTTCACACCGAAGTCATGCAGTCTCATGCCGCATTACAGGTAACGACTTTCACACCAAACTCATGCAGTCTTGTGCAGCGTTACAGGTAACGACTTTCACACCGAACTCATGCAGTCTCGTGCCGCGTTACAGGTAACGACTTTCACACCATACTCATGCAGTCTCGTGCAGCGTTACAGGTAACGACTTTCACACATAACTCATGCAGTCTCATGCCGCGTTACAGGTAACGACTTTCACACCGAAGTCATGCAGTCTCATGCCGCGTTACAGGTAACGACTTTCACACCGAAGTCATGCAGTCTCATGCCGCGTTACAGGTAACGACTTTCACACATAACTCATGCAGTCTCGTGCCGCGTTACAGGTAACGACTTTCACACCAAACTCATGCAGTCTCGTGCCGCGTTACAGGAACGACTTTCACACCAAACTCATGCAGTCTCGTGCCGCGTTACAGGTAACGACTTTCACACCAAACTCATGCAGTCTCGTGCCGCGTTACAGGTAACGACTTTCACACCAAACTCATGCAGTCTCGTGCCGCGTTACAGGTAACGACTTTCACACCAAACTCATGCAGTCTCGTGCCGCGTTACAGGTTACGACTTTCACACCGAAGTCATGCAGTCTCATGCCATGCAGTTGAAGTGGGTTTGGGTGGCAACGAGTGTTTGGAATTTGTTGAACTCTCACAATTGATGATTATATTGTGAGTTAAGAACAAAAAAATGTCCCAAGATATTATTCTGTATATCCCGATAGGGTGAAATTTTCTTTGTTAATGAGTACTGATGACAATGTTCTTATCCGTAAGTTGTCAACCTTTATCTATCAAGCATTGTCTCTAAGAAATAAACATAATAATCCATAGAATGTATGTACTCGTATTGTAATTTGTTACGATATGGTATGATGTGGTGCGATATGATATGATATGATATGATATGATATATGGTATGATATGACATGATGTAATACGGGGTGTTATGATATGATCTGATACGACAAAGTAGATGTAATGCGATGTTATATAATGTGATACATTTTGATGCGATATGACATATTGTGATTTGACTATTTTTATTCTTTTCTATGATATTGTGTACTATGTTCTTGTTTACTATGGGCCCGTGGCCTTCAGTATGAATAAAGATTGATTGATTGAATTGATGATTGGCTCATTAGCAGTGAGCAATCAGCGAGAAAACTGGTTAGCGTCATTTTGCAGATATTCTTGTTCAGGTTGTTAAACCATGTAAGTACACAGAACCAAACTATGAGGCTTTCTGTTGTTTTTTTGTTTTATTTAGAAATTCCACATCCAATTTAAAATGATGAAACTTGCGCCTTTAAAGGGATGACAAACATATCATGAACATAAACCTCCCTAAGAAATGTGAAGTGAGTTTTCTGAAGATTAAACACGTTTTCAGGCCCTGACAACTTCCATGACACGTCGTCAAGTGTTTCAAAAACTAAAACAGTAGTTCCAAAGTCGTTTGTGTTTGATTATGAGTAAATATGATCGATTTCGTTGTCGTTTGGTCACTGCGACCAATCCCGATTATTTCAGTTAGTCGGACCACCACTAGAGGCAACACGTATAGATGTAGAAGCTGTGTTTACTGCAGCAGAAGTTGTAGAAGCCATAAACATATAGTTGTAGTTGTCAAGGCAGTAGTTGTAGTTGCTGTAACGCTCGTTCAAGTAGTCTAAGCAGTGGTTGCCGTAACTACAGCAGTATTTATAGCACTGTAGCAGTAGTGTTACTGCTTTAGATATTTGAATGTCCGCCATTACGTGCCAAGGCATTGAAACTGATAGCCTGATACCGACATGCAGTGTCTCCCGGGACAATCTATAACAATTACCTGCAAGTCGTACGACCTTGAGAAGTTGAAGGAGTGTCACTCCTAATTACAGTCGAACCCCAATGTCTCGAACTCGGTTGAGACGAATTCTCGGTTGTCTCGGACTCATCTCTAGGTCCCTTCCAATTTCCTTATATCTATCCATATTTTAACCCTGGTGTTTCGAACTAGATGTGTCGAATTCCCGGTTGTGTCGAACTCACTTTAGGGTCCTGAAAATCCCTAATAAGTACACATTTACCCTTTTGTGTCTAACTGTCTAAGTTGTTCTTGCAACAGGGAAGTCTATAGCGATTACCTGCAAGTCGTACGTATGTGAGACGTTCAAGGGCTGTAACTCCCAATTACCTTTGTGGACATGCAAGTGCCCTCCCCCACACATACATACAAGAATTAACACTACTCAGAGAAGATACTCACATAAACTTATTTCTTTCTTGTTTAACACTACATTTCGCAATTGTTTAGCAATTAATATAGTTTCACGCCTTGATATTACCGAGTTAATGTCAGTATAAAACATGCAGTAAACCCTAATCCTGCATTCAAGTTCAGGGGAATAATCCTTTATTTCTTGTCCTCAGGTTGCAGACTGAAAGGAAAGGAGGGCGACAAGGCTTACCTTGTGGCTTACTCTTACGAACAGATACTCCTGTCCCCGGGATATCCCGATCTATATCCAGAGTAAGTAGCGTTGCTGTATATCATTGTTAGCTTGGAATATCATGACTTCAATGTGTACCATGCTGGAATGACACTTTTTCCAGTACCTTCAAGATATACTGGCTAGAATGACACTTTTTCCAGTACCTTCAAGATATACTGGCTAGAATGACACTTTTTCCAGTACCTTCAATATATACTTGCTAGAATGACATTTTTTCCAGTACCTTCAAGTTATACTGGCTAGAAAGACACTTTTTCCAGTACCTTCAAGATATACTGTCTAGAGTGACACTTTTCCCAGTACCATCAAGGTATACAAGCTAGAATGACACTTCTTCCAGTACCTTCAAGATATACTGGCTAGAATGACACTTTTTCCTGTACGTTCGAGGTATACTAGCTAGAATGACACTTTTTCCAGTACCTTCAATGTATACTAGCTAGAATAAAACTTTTTCCAGTACCTTCAAGGTATACTAGCTAGAATGACACTTTTTCCAGTACCTTCAAGGTACACTAGCTAGAATGACACTTTTTCCAGTACCTTCAATGTATACTAGCTAGAATAACACTTTTTCCAGTACCATCAAGATATACTGGCTAGAATAACTCTTTTTCCAGTACCTCCAAGGTATACTAGCTAGAATGACACCTTTTCCAGTACCTTCAAGATATACTGGCTAGAATGACACTTTTTCCTGTACCTTCAAGGCATACTAGCTAGAATGACACTTTCTCCAGTACCTTCAAGGTATACTAGCTAGAATGACACTTTTTCCAGTACCTTCAAGGTATACTAGCTAGAATAAACTTCTTCCAGTACCTTCAAGATATACTGGCTAGAATGACACCTTTTCCTGTACCTTCACGACATACTAGCTAGAATGACACTTTCTCCAGTACCTTCAAGGTATACTAGCTAGAATGACACTTTTTCCAGTACCTTCAAGGTATACTAGCTAGAATGACACTTTTTCCAGTACCTTCAAGGTATACTAGCTAGAATAAACTTCTTCCAGTATCTTCAAGATATACTGTCTAGAGTGACACTTTTCCCAGTACCTTTAAGGTATACTAGCTAGAATGACACTTTTTCCAGTACCTTCAAGGTATACTAGCTAGAATGACACTTTTCCCTGTACCTTCAAGGTATACTAGCTAGAATGACACTTTTTCCAGTACCTTCAAGGTACACTAGCTAGAATGACACTTTTTCCAGTAACTTCAATGTATACTAGCTAGAATAACACTTTTTCCAGTACCATCAAGATATACTGGCTAGAATAACTCTTTTTCCAGTACCTCCAAGGTATACTAGCTAGAATGACACTTTTTCCAGCACCTTCAAGGTATACTAGCTAGAATGACACTGTTTCCAGTACCTTCAAGGTATACTAGCTAGAATGACACTTTTTCCAGTACCTTCAAGATATACTGGCTAGAATGACACTTTTTCCAGTACCTTCAAGATATACTGGCTAGAATGACACTTTTCCCAGTATCTTCAAGGTATACTAGCTAGAATAACACTTTTTCGAGTAGCATCAAGATATACTGGCTAGAATAACACTTTTTCCTGTACCTTCAAGGTATACTAGCTAGAATGACACTTTTTCCAGTACCTTCAAGGTATACTAGCTAGAATAAACTTCTTCCAGTACCTTCAAGATATACTGGCTAGAATGACACTTTTTCCTGTACCTTCAAGGCATACTAGCTAGAATGACACTTTCTCCAGTACCTTCAAGGTATACTAGCTAGAATGACACTTTTTCCAGTACCTTCAAGGTATACTAGCTAGAATAAACTTCTTCCAGTACCTTCAAGATATACTGGCTAGAATGACACTTTTTCCTGTACCTTCAAGGCATACTAGCTAGAATGACACTTTCTCCAGTACCTTCAAGGTATACTAGCTAGAATACCACTTTTTCCAGTACCATCAAGATATACTAGCTAGAATGACACTTTTTCCAATACATTCAAGGTGTACTAGCTAGAATGACACTTTTTTCCAGTAACTTCAATAAATACTCTTCTTCGAGTACCTTCAATATATACTTGCTAGAATGACACTTTTTCCAGTACCTTGAAGATATACTGGCTAGATAACACTTTTTCCAGTCTATTCTATATATACTGGCTAGAATGACTTTTCTTCGAGTATCTTCAGTATATACTGTCTAGAAAGACACGTTTTCCAGTACCTTGAAGATATACTAGCTAGAATAACACTTTTTTCCAGTACCTTCAATGTATACTAGCTAGAATAACACTTCTTCCAGTATTTTCAAGATATACTGGCTAGAATGACACTTTTTCCAGTACCTTCAAGGTATATTAGCTAGAATAACACTTCTTCCAGTACCTTCAATATATACTGTCTAGAGTGACACCTTTTCCATTGCCTTCACGATAAACTGTTTAGAATGACACTTTTTCTAGTACCTTCACGACATACTAGCTGGAATGACACTTATTTCCAGTACCTTCACGATATACTGGCTAGAATAACACTCCTTCTAGTACCTTCACGATATACGATTTTTGTCGACCTTTTCCCTTTACACCATTCAACTGTCTCCAAAATGATCCAAACGGCTTCTGAGGTAGCTGTTAGGTCAACTGATGCCTATAGAAAATACTTCTTAAAATCTACAACAATTGTTTTAATCACGTTGCTACCAATATTCGGTTTCAGTCGGATACAGTGTATGTGGCAAGTGAAGACTGGCCTTCTCGTGGACATTGTCATGATTGATGTTGTACGGCTGAATCTCCACTCACAGCCTGCATGTGACGACAGCATCAGTTTATATCATGGTGGGTACTCCACACACCCAACACATTACAGACAGGTAGTGCCTTTGCATTCAGGGCCCCGTTTCACATTGCAATCTTAGCGCTAAGATGACCGTTACTTCTATACTTTATATACATAGACTTACGACGATCGCTTTGTGAAAAGCTCCCGGAAACTGATTGCCCCCTTTGCAGTGTAAATGTAATGTAAATAATAGCGAAAAGTAAGATTCCATTACCATCACTGTTTCACATCACCATCAGCGAGATATCAAACAAATATGCCGCTGAAATGTCAATTTTATTAAGACTACTATTTACATATTTAGGTAGAAGTTGATACATGTGGTGTTATCTAAGGCAAGTGAGTTTGTTCATAATTGCCTCTGTTCCCCAAGCAGAATAATGGGTACCCGGTAGAATAAGTCATGTGACTATAACCTTCTAGCCTAACAGGCACTTTGGGTTATCCGGGGTAGTAATGTGCAGTGCTATTCATTGTTAACGCCATGAGCATACTTAGTGTGGAGTTTGGCGCTATATAAGTGGACATATTATTAATAAACGTTTATAAACATGGTGTAAGAAATTGTGCTTACACTGATGTCAATACAGGTCCAATATCTGATATCAGCAAGACACCGGCCATGGTGTTGTGTGGCACCACGACCGATGTTTTCTACAGCACTGGTCGGTACGCTACCATTGTGTTTTCAACCAATGACGTTGGAGTAGGAAGCGGCTTCACCATCAGTTACAAGTCTGTACCAAAGAGTACGTATCGCATATCTCCCATAAGACAAGGTAAAGTGGGTTTAATTTACAATATACTTACGAGGTAACACACACTGGGGGAAAGGGTGCGTATATAAAACATGCACCAGTGCGACCTATAATTGAAAATGCATCCTTATATACATCTATAAGTGCACAAATTATCAAAATATTTCAAAATTGTGTCTGACCAGTACATGTCCATACATTGATCCGTTTACACATGCGAGTACCTGTAAGCTATATTTACTACTCATCAGTAATCATTGGGTTTGTATGGAATCCTGGAGGGGACATTGTTGCGTTGTCGCCCTTACAAAAACAAGCAAAAAGTGGCAACATTCACCAACGTGCGACAATTAACGCGACGTTTTGGCCATGTGTCACGTAGTTTATCATGCTTTTTGCGGGATAGGCGTTATCGGAATGCCAGTTCTTCGAGATTATGGATACGTTTTAATTTTGATAAATTTGTCAAAGTGCAGCCTGTTTTTGTCTGGTGCAACGAGGTATGTATGTCAGCATGCGCCCGGTGCAAGTAGAATCAAGTTCCTAAATCATCTCACACCTCGAGCTCCTTCTGCCAGGGATCCGTCTGCATTTGCTTCCCCAAGCTATTTGGTGCCTTTGTTCCCGATATGAAATATGCTGACTACATGTATTGAAGTTTCTGCTATTTACAAGAAAATTGATCTTTAGAATTGATCTTCAATAACCCATGCTTGTCGTAAGAGGCGTCTAACGGGATCGGGTGGTCAGGCTCGCTGGCTTGGTTGACACATGTCATCGGTTCACAACTGCGCAGATCGATGCTCATGCTGTTGATCACTGAAATGTCTGGTCTAGTCTGGATTACTGACAGACCACGGCCATATAGCTGGACTATTGCTGAGTGCAGCGTAACATTCAACTCACTCACTATTTACAAGAAGCAATAATGATTGTAAACACTATTTACCATTTTCAGAGAGCGCCGATACTGGAACCGCAGCTTCAGTTTCATCCAGTGCGTCAACGATAGTGATTGTTTGTTGTGTAATCTTCATCATCATCACCATAGTGGTTATCGTAACTTGTTTCGTTTGGAGAAAAAGACGCAGTGATCGCAATCGACAGCCACCGATTGTCCAAACATCTCCGGATCCAAACCCCCAGACTAGCGGCCAGGCAACCCCATTTTTGCCGCCCAATACCACCGGTACCACCAATCCTACCAATACCCCCGCTACCACCAACACCAGTGCGTCGCCCCCTGAATACCAGGATGTAAACTTCCTGCCCGTCACAGAACCATCAGCGCCAGAGATGCCGCCTCCCAGTTATGAAGATGCTGTGTCGAAGGGAATGATAGACACGGAAACTAGGTTTTGAGGCGTTTTGACAAGGTGTCTTCAAATTATAAACAGACGCTTTGACATGCATCACAAGGCAGTGGTCAGAATGTGAGTGAGTGAGTTGTTTTTAAGCCGCTTTGAACAGTACTCGATCGTAGAGTGTCTGCATAGCGTGGACGTAAGGTCATCAGAAAGTAGTTTCCTGATATCTAGTGTAGCTGTCTCATTGTCAGAAATATTATCCACGCATTTAGTACATGGTATTTGTCAGGAAGATACTCTAGGACATGGTATTGGTCAGAAAGAGACACTGGAACATGGTATTGATCAGGAAGATACTCTAGGACAAGGTATTGGTCAGAAAGAGACACTGAAACATGGTATTGATCAGGAAGAGACACTAGGACATGGTATTGGTCAGAACGAGACCAGTGGTGATTCCAGGTTAGATGAAGTCACAAGCAGCCTTTGCTGGTCGTAAGGGGTGACTAAATGAATCAGATGGTCAGACTTGGATGACGTCACGTAAACGTCGCTCATAATGTCAATCACTGAAATGTCTGGCGCAGTTATTTGAAGACCCCGTTACAGAGCTAGAAAGTCGCTACGTTATAACAAACAACAAAGACGCCCATCTACAAAAAGTTGATTCCGAAAAGACAAATCTGCAGAAGCCTACGATGACTTGTGGAGTATTTGTGTGGAGTAATGATGCTCAGTTTAAAAAACCTCTCAGTGGTATTTCCCAAAAGGAATCTGTTAACACCCAGGACTATCTCAGACACAAGTGGAGGCGTTGCACTCATATATTGTAGGAGTGGGTTCTTTCTCATCTGATTGGATGAATGGGTAGGGCAGATGGCCGAATCGTTTTAACGGGTGCGGCCAGGTTTCCCCGCTCATAAAACTGCTCCCCGGAAGACAATTCCCCACTGGTTGCAGAAATGTCAAGAACGTCTGGGGGTGGGGCGGAGAACATGACCTGGGGAGAATTTTCTTAGTAGGGGCAGTTGATCTGACGCCATATTAACACATCTTAGGTGTGGCGTGCAAAAGCTTTAGAAACTAAGCGGCCGGAGTGAGGGTTCAGATGCTACGAGCTTGGTGAAGCATCTCAGCATCTTTGATTATAGGTTCTTGAATATGTAACAATATGTGAGCCTGCTTTTAGCATTACCAGCATCTCCACCGAAACATCCCACTGAAGGTGAAATTGAACAGAAGTTGAACTTTATACTTGTATTCCGACTCTGTGTTCTGTTATGAATTCCTTTAAAAGAACATTCCAGTTTTAATGACATCATATATTGACGGGTTTCAGAGGGCAAAGGAAACGATTTCTGCTCAGGAACACTCAGCCCTGAAAATACCTTTGTATTTTGAATACAACAGAAATAGGGGGTCAACCGACAGTGTTGGATCCAAGTGGATTAAATATGTATTTGAATATATGCAAGTGCATTATTGTTTATATTATATATGTTTTATATAACATTTTGTATGATTTTATTGCGAGATACACGAGTCATAACACCATCGTGAGCGTGTTTGTTTTATTTGTTTATACACGTTTTATACATGATGACAGAACATTACACAGTAACATCTCACTTGTAGGACATGTTACTGAAGTACGTGTTGTTTGTTTGTTTGTTTGTTCTTTAAGGACGCATTCATCAGTATACCAGTTGTAGTTTATCACGGCGGGCTTGAGGATCGAACCTCGTTCACACAAACTAATGGTTAAAATGTACCGTGGTATCATGACATTTCAATCAGTTACAGAACTGACCATGTAATCCATGATAGCATTCTTTTATTCACGTGAGCAACCAAATCATGATGGCTCTCTTTAACATTCACTAACATGTGCAGGGCTCTAAATCCATCGTTTTACCGTGACATGCAATCAAACATCAAACCTCACCATGCAACCCATGGCCCACTTTTTCCGACAGACAGTATTATGCTCGGGACCGGACTCCCGATCACCGCGGAATGAACGCTGCAGTTGGGAGACATGTCAGAAATTAAGTGTAGAGGATATCAATACCTGCTGTTGGCTGCCAGGTTAGTTCCTCAACAGGAAGATATAGATGTCACGTAGTCTCAAATAATTGAAGACTGTGTAGTCATTGTTCCTTACATCACAGAAGACGTGGCCCGCCCGTGAAGATCCTGGTTAGAATTGGTCTTCAGTAACCCATGGTTGTCGTAAGAGGCGACTAACGGATCGAATGGCAGGCTCGCTGACTTGGTTGACACATGTCACCGTAACCCAATTGCGTAGATCGATGTTCATGATGTTGATCACTAGATTGTCTGGTGCAGACTCGCATATTTACAGGTCACCTCCATATAGCTGGAATATTGCTGAGTGCGGCGTTAAACAACAACCAACCACAGAAGTCGTGGCCTTAAACAGATCAAGTAAAACAATCGATGTAATGCAAGCTATCATATATGGACACTAATATTTATGCTTATTCGTTTAGTAATGGTGATAGATGTTCCCGAACTAAACGCTTCATCATCCTGTCTGTTAAACTGTATCGCACTCCATGTATTAATTAAATATACCATATAATGTTATATAACAAAGTCATTTTCAGCATACAGGTAACCACATTAACCACCTAAGTCATGCATATAAAAATGAAATTATCACTGGTCAGCGGGAACCGGTGTTGTTTTCAAGCATGTGCTTGTGCAAGTCTTCTTTTGAAACAATTTGGGGTGGCCCTGACAAGGGCCGTTGAAATGATCGTTTATCCGGCCGAGTGGTGGGTCGCTTTCAGTAGTAATAGGGGTTCCCGTAGGTTCCAAAGGCTGGTTTGGTGTTGGTTTTGGATTGTCTCTAAACATTCTTGGACTGTTGGCTGACCCGTCTGGTTGACGGAGACTGGACGTTTCTGGGTCTTGTTGGGGCAGTCAATACTCCGATGATCTTCTTTGTCACAGTACCGGCAGCTGGGGATGTAAAAGCCGTAACTGTAATGGCATGTGTCTTTTCCACAGTTGTAGTAGGTACTGTTTTCGTGCCTGTTGTTGTCGTTTGCTTTTTGTCAGTTACTACAGTACATTAAACGCCCGATGTAAGCGTCCTTCACTATACTGGAAATATTTACTCGCTGAAATGTGTCGTTATATAGTCTACAACTCGTGTCGTTCGCGTAGACGGGTAGGCACCCTTTGCATTGGGGGCACTGCCACACGGGACACAAGGGTGGTGATGGAGTCTCCAACGAGATCAATTCTAACTCCCAGTTTTCCATGACTAGGACAATCAGGCGACGGTCAAATAATGGCGGGCATAAACACATGTGCTCGGGGAGCAATCATTACGTCACGAGATTACGCGAGATCAAGGGAGAGGCTAATTATTCCTTCCTCATTATACGGCTCAGCCAATCAAATGACCACATCACGCGCGATCATATATAAACTCGAATGCTTGAGGTGCGGTATCTCGATGGAAAGTCAAATCACGGAGGCCAGAGCAGTACAATATATGTTGGCCACAGACGATGCCTTACCACAGACAGTGTGGAACAGAACAATGTCTGAGTTAAAGTCCAAACCTCAAAAAGTGTTCTGAAGCCTGTTGAAATAAAGAAAAAAAAATCTCTGCTAAAAGCAGAGTCGATTGTACATGGGTATATATTAGTTTCAGCAGTATTACAGCTGCATGAGAAAAATGTTGTTTGTAAACAAATCGCGTCGGGACCAAAACATCCAGTGATTGTCACCATGAGATACGAGGACAGAGCATGTGTTTATGAATCACTATGAAATAGTGAAGATACCAGGAGTTCGCGAAAAGGCAATAAACACAGAAGGCAATTCAGTGATCAACAAGGCCAGAAGGGGCAGAGGCACCACACATCCCACAGACATCTCAATTCTACTGGTCGTTGATCATATGTACTCGTATATCAAGGCGAATCCATCCCATCCATCCCACCTTGTCCCAGCAGCCACCTCTTCCATTTGTATGTAGTACTGTGGTGGAATCATCAGAAAGATGCGCGACAGTGCGTGCACAGGAAATTTAATTTCAGAAGCCTGGATCTCGTGTGAGGCCGAAAGTAGGTCCAATCCAAGGGCCTTTTCAGGACTATCCCAAATCGTCACAAAAGAAGGCTTGAACAAACACATGCTTGAAATCGCACCCATTCCCCTCACTAAGACACACACACACACACACACACACACCAGCCCGGACACACGCACACACACACGCACACGCACACACACACACACACCCCATCGACCCGATGTAACTGTAGATCCTAACTCAGGCACTGTCACCTGCTACTAGTATTGTTAAGGGGGCAGTGTTGTACATTATGTTACACATTGTTTTTAGATTGTTTGCACATTGTACATGTAAATTCAGTAAGGGCAGCAGTGTGCTTTATATTTGGACTTTAAACAGAAAGATAGGAAGTACTGAAGGGTGCTGATTCCGAAGTATACTGCCTCTGAGGGTGCTGTACAACAACCCAGTGATCAACATCAGGAGCAACAATTTACGCAATTGGGATGCGATGACACGTGTCAACGAAGTCAGCATGGGTTGCTGAAAACCCGGATCTTCACATGCATCTCTGTGTGGTACAGTGGAAATTAGATGTGTTATTTCAGTGTGAAGAAAGCTTTTTATACGAAAGAAGGCTAGTTATTGTCATAGGAAATAATCTTCATATTTACTAACTAGCAGTATCTATACATTTCGAAGTCGGATCAGGTGTTTTGACATCATACGTTTTCGGACGGCAGTACTCAATGGACGTGTAACGAGGGGTGTTGCGTCACAAAGACATTGTGAATTCCTGAACAGTAGCTTGTTATTAGGATAAGGATATTTCTTAGTTAGTGACATGTTTTACTATTGTTCACGCGACAATTGAGACAACCATAGATATTCCGAAAATCCATAAAAGGAGGATACTTACTGGCAGTAGATCGTGTCCATACCTGTAAATGTAAACTGTCAGAAGTCACACTCTACAAATATGAATATAAGTGCGATATTGGATAGTGTTTACAAATTCACTTTTCCTGAGACCTATTACAAAAGATCCTTCGCAAATCTCGTTTGTTTACAAACAATACCCTCCCACAATACCTCGCCACAGCATTTACACGTCATGTGTTCTTATGACGTCACCATCACGTATGGTCATGACATCACTATATCGTCTCCTCAACCGTCACACCGGTCTAACATCGCAACAATGCTCCTAGAAATATTTCACCTGAGGAAGACCTCGAGTTAATTTTACTGTTTGCTAAACGAAACGAGCCTGGGATTGGAAAGAATTATCCGGTTTGGGTAGGTAAACGCTGAGGCGCCCACGGGGTGTGGAGCTGGTGGCAGAGGCGGAATTTTCCAGGTACAGTAGATGGCCATAAGTGAGTCATCATTAGTGAAATTCCCATAGACTTGGATGTTAATCAACTCTAGCAAGAATAAGTTTCATAAATTTAGTTTCGGTCGAATTGCTTTGAATACTTATCTAGCTTGGAAATCATCTCAGCTACATACACATAATTTCCATTCAATTTTCCGATGATTATTAAGAAAATTGCAACTCTTTAACCCCCTTGATGCCACAGGGACATATATGTCCTTCCCCTTCAACCCCCAATTTCAAGTCCAATAAAAATCAAAATATCCCACGCACACAATACACTTCACAGTTTCGAATTCTGCGGGAAATTTCCTGTTTCTTGATACCATCCACTATTATTTTAGACAAAGCTCAAGTGCTGAAAATGACCTTTCAAAATAGGCTTCATCGAAAATGTCGCCATTTTTGACACAGTACGAAATCGCGATTCACAGCGTTATTTGCTGAATGTTTTGAAATGTGAAAATCGGATAATTACTGGGAGTATTGAATTTAAAAAATAACATATTAATGAACACTGATATCACTTTTACATGAAATCGCTAATGATAATTCTGAAACGTTGCCGATGAATCTAGAATCGGTTGGGATGTTTTCGAAAATACACTTACACGAACGCCGTAGAGCGCTTTCCGCCATATTGGATAGTGTTTACAAAATCACGTTTCGCGAAGGCCGGTATTGAGACGCCTATTACATCACGTATATTTCATATTCAGCTTCGAAAAATGCATCACTGAATTCCCCATACATTTTAGAATCAAATTGCAACTGGTCTTTGTCACCAATACCAACTGTCCAGATAAATGAGACGAAACATATTGGGTGTGAAAACGAACGCTGTGCTCGAAAGACTGCGCTGGTTCGAAATGTAAACAAAGACAAATTCCAATTTTCCAACATTCATCCGTCTATTCATTGCTTGCAATGGCTCAATACATTTGGAATATGCATGGTAAGAGTATCGTAGTAAGAAATAGGAAATTATAAATAGATACAATGCAATGACTTGATAATTCATAAGAAATTGTCAAAGTTTCCGTGCAGCCTGACGCCATGACTGCCATCACGTAGAACGACAAGTGTAATTATCAGCATTTCTGGCTTCTTCTCTTACTTACAGTGAAAACGATAAAAACATATAACAATACACAGATAGTCAGAATCATTCTGATTACTTACATGTCATATTTATGTACAAACGATCGCTGAATCAAT